TTGATGTTCCATCCAGAGCCAGTGATTGAAGCAAGGGAGATTACAGCTTTGAAGAGATGGAAGCTAGTTCAAGGCTTGCTTCAAAACTTCTGGAACAGGTGGTACGCTGAGTATATTCCACAACTACAAATACGCCAAAAGTGGACGTCAGGTTCGAGATCACTAGCCGTAAATGATGTGGTAATTGTCAAGGAGGACAACTTAGCACCTACAAGATGGAAGTTAGCACGTGTTGTGAGGGTTCATCATGGTAGGGACGACGTCGTCCGGGTAGCAACGGTAAAATTGGCTAATGGGTCAGAGTTAACCAGACCAGTAGTGAAGCTATGTCGCTTGCCCATCGAGCCAACTGACTCGGTTGAAAAAATTGATTTTCAACGGGGGGAGGATGTCGACGCCAATATATTATAATTTGGTACCTGTGTGGAGCGTACGTGAATATCTCGCCGCCGACCGACACACACACACACACACACAAACACTCGCGCACATTATAGCCGTTATTTTTGTATTTATTTTTGTTTTAATTATATTTTGTGTTGTGAGTTATATAATATGCTAATCAGTTACCGGCGCATTATCTGCTGTCACCGGCTCAAAATTGCACGTAATTTAACACGACCGATGCAATTTTTGTCACTGTCCGTCCGTCGTCGTGAGCAAAACATCAACCTACATCGGTTGATTTATGCATATTTGAAAGGCATAATATTAGAAGGCGATAATTCCAAATTTTTAGAAGGGTGTCTGCCACTCTATGTCATTGATTGATTTAAAATCAATATGGATTGAAATTTTTTTCTGTAACAACATGAATTTTCTTTTTTACAACTTCGCCTATTGGTCCTTTTTGAGTTTTCATTTTGCAATTTTTTGATTCGACAATTTGCATACTTTCATTCAAGGACATATTTTTGTTTCTAATTTTGTAAATGTATGTGCAATAGAACTAAAATTCATCGAGATGAAAATTAAATTAGTTTTCAATGTTTCATTTTGCATAATATTTTGAGCTTTTCTAATAGCGATAGAAGTTCTGGATCTAAATTTGAAATAATTTCTTGTATTTTTGTACGAAGAAGACGTATGAATGATGAAATAATAAAATATGTTTAAAAATATTTACAAATTAGTGAAATATGTTATATTATACCAAAATATGTTGAATAAATAAATATGTAAAATAAAAGTAGCATCATATTAATAGGAATGATTTAAATCATGAACATTTCTTATCAAATTTTAAATATCTCGTTTTAATAAAAATATGTATTTACATATAAATCCATTCCCTAGTTATGACTATCATTATATAGATATAGTTATTTTGTACAGTTTGATAAATATTTCATATTTGTAATGTATATTTCATGTATTTTTGGAATTGTCATTGTTTATATTTGTGTTGAGCACATATTTTAAAATTTTTTTGATATATGTAAACAATCTGTATCTTAAAACCAAATTCAATTTAAAGCATTTGAAAACATTTTATATTTTTTTCCTCTCCATAAAATAGCTAATTAATGTATTATACATCTAGGAACTTAGGAATTATGATATAGTAAATACTAAAAAAAATAATAATAAACTATAATAAAACAACTGGGTAGATACATATATTAAAAGTTATAATCATAGTCATCAGTCATAATTTTGACTCTTTAAAGTTTAAGATAACAAAAAAATAAAATAATAATATTCAGGTATTAAACTATATTATAACTAGGCAGATATAATATTATAATGGATATCACTCATTAGTTTACTTTGGCTCTATAAGATAACAATAAAAAATAATAATATTCATGCAATTTAAACACTTTTTTTTAAAAGTAAAACAGTAAAAACTATTAATTAAAATTTTTTTTTTAGTATTTTAAAATATATATTATTCAATATCACTATATATTGACTTAGGAATAGTGTTCAAGCTTTTAAAAACTGATACTAGTTAACTTGCTTTTTCAACGCCTAAACGGTTTCTCAGTTTACTGTGTACTAGTACGAAAGTTGCTGTACTAAGAAGAACAAATCCGATGTTATGTGTTTTTTTAATGATGTTCACCATGGCGATTTAAAAAATGTATCACGTAGTGTTAAACTTCATGAATCTGCCAGAGAACATATTCATTGTATGTTAGGATTAAAACATTTAGAAAATAATAGAGTAACTATAGTAGACGCTTTGACTGAACATGGTTATTTGTTTAAAAAAAAATATAATGAAAATGTTCGGCTTAACCGACTTTTTATGGAACATCTAATCGATATTGTGTTATTTTTGGGTAGACAGGAACTGGCCTTTCGAGGGCATAACGAAAGTTCGAGTTCTTTAAATAAAGGAAATTTTAAAGAACTCTTTGATATGAATTTACTAGGTGTTCAATAGAGATTCAAAACCATTACAATGGTCTAAAAAATATATTTTTAGGATTATCAAATACAATACAAAATGATTTGATAACATGTGTTTCTGATCACATACGTAATATAGTAAAAACTGAAATCAAAGAGTGTATGTTTTATTCTGTCCAAGTTGATGATACGACAGATATTTCGCAAAGAACACAATGTTCAATGGGCACTCGTTATTTCAGTGGCCCTCTCCACAGTACCTACATTGCCCCGGGGGTGATGATCCCTCCGTGTAGCCGCGCGTGGTCCGGGCTAGCCTCTGTGGGCGTACGTCCCCCCTCCCTTGTGGTTGTGGGGGTTTCAGTCGGATTCGGATGTCGCACATGTTTGTGTGGGGATCCAGGACGCCGGCGATTCGCCGTAAATCGGCGAACGTCACTAGGCGCTGCAGCCGAACATGAATTCGGAATTCATCGCGTACGAGTTCGGAGATTATGCCTACTAGCTGGGATTCCGTCAGCGAGATATTAATCCGGCGCGCTAGTTTTTGCTTTGACAACACGAATTCCGATAGTGATTCGGCGGTGGTTTGTCGTGTAGAAAGGATTTCTGCGCGCAACTGTACTTGAATTTCGGGGTTGTCGAAACTTTCCAACAGTTTCGTCCGAAATTCGGTCCAGGTGAGATCCAGGACCTTGATAGAGGTCCACCAAGTTCCGGCTGCACCCTGGAGATGCGGCTCGACAGTTTTAGTCCAGCCCGATGAGTGTATGCGCGCTTGAGTTAATATTGATTCTACATTCTCCAAAAACCTTATCGGGTCTTCGGCTTTAAGGCTGGAAGTGAGGCTCGTGCGGCGCGTAGGTCCTCGAATGGAATTAAAACTGTTCGTTTATGCGAGATGTGGGGGTGGATAGACGATACGCGTCGTATGTGTCTGCGAAGCGTACAGATCGTTCGTTTCGCGGTTCGCGGTCGGTGTGGGTAATTCGCGAGGTTTCGTACCATGGGTTTAGTCCCGAAGAATGTCCGTGCGCGGGCCCGACTTCAGGTCTTGTTTGCCGGACCGGATATTCCGGGTAGAACGTCGTTTGTAGGGGTCCCTGTCCCGTGCTGTGTAGTTGGGGTTGGTACGTAGGGACTGGTGAGTGTGGTATATCCAGTCTGTCCTGACCTATTTCCGACCCCCTCGACTGTTGTTGGGCCACATTAGTCGGTAGCGGTGACCGGTGTACGCGGTCCGACATACCCAGTTCAATACGTCGCATGCATTCCGTCAAACGACGTTAATCTTCGCCAAGGCGGGTCATGAACGACTCGAGCATGGATAAGCGGTTCGGTTCGGTCCAGGCTACGATTTGCGGGAAGACGGAGCGCGGTTAGTTGTTCATACGCGACTTGGACCGTATTGGTGGCGTACGTGTCGGTATTGAGAATCGAACTATCCGGTGTCGACTCGATTTGTCGTCCGGTGGCCGTTTCCGCGGTATCGCCGAGAACCTCCATTGATTGGAGGTGGATGACACCCGGTTCGCCCCCTAACTCGCGTATGTGGTTGTCCAGTCGGGCTTCCAAGTCTGCCTTTGTGCCCGATATGTGTAATCCGCGGGATCCACATTCGCGACGTAATTCGGCCAACGTGAGGTGCGCGATCGGTGTTCCGGACATATTCGATTATTTTATTTCCGGCCGTTAAACTACGCAAGGTCGTCGACAGCGGTGTACAATAAAAGTCTGTGTCCGGTACGCGATGGCTGTTGACGGAAAAAAAAACGCGAGCGGTGTGTGTGTATCCGGCGGTGTGTTTACGTTGCGTGTTTGTCGCGGCGGCGGGTCTGGTGTTTTGTAAACACGGTAATCACGCTTGCGGTTATCACGTCAGCGATAAATTGATAGACGACGACGGTGGTTTATCGACCGCGCGATCTCGGCGGCGGCGTTTTGATAGACCGGTTTCCGGCACGTCCATGTCACTGTCCCCCCCCCCCCCCCCGAAAACTTTAAAAAAAATGTTATTCAAATATTTTGTACGTAATTTGTATGAATTTATACGACAGTTTTCAGAATTTGTACGACGTTGTTATTTAACTTATATCAAAAATACTGAAGAGGGGCCAGAGACATATGTCTCCGGCCCCCTAACATAAATAAATTAGTATTATTTTTTGAATTTAGTAAAATCAAGAACTCAATTTGTATGAAATTTTACGACCATTTCCGGAATTTTTACTTCAACCCCTCTCCTGAAATATGCGAAAAACCCTTTTTTCTGTGTTCTCCGTTCCCCTCACTTCTAAACTTAAACTTTTTATTCCACAAACCTTTTACACATAAATTGTATACATTTTATAATACAGGGAACTTAAATAAAATTAATTTCAAATATTTTTTTGTTATCGGTTTTATTAATTTTGTTATTATTAATTTAAAAGAATTTTACATAATATTTATGAAAAAAAAAAAATTATCCTTGGTACATGCAATATATAGCTTTTATATTATTACAATTAAATGTTCTAATAATGTACCTTAACCTTTTTTATTTTCAGAATAAATAAAGCTAACTTTTAATGGTAAAATATACACTTTAAGTATAATCATTTGAAAATAATTATATTAAAATCATAAATAAAAAAAAAGACTTATATGGTGTACAACAACTCTTCACATGCAACCACCATATTTTCTTAAATATCTTTTGGTTTTTTTTTTTTAGGTCATCATACAGTTCCCAATTACGTTCTTCTCTTTTATAATAGGCAGTATAATGACCAATTGAATTTCTGAGCTGGCTTTTTCCTTTATAATAATTTAAAACCTCTCTTAAAACATAGGTTGTAGATTTATGGAGTAAATTTTCAGGAATATCTTTTAATTTAACTTGTACATGTGGTGCAGCCTCACTACTTTGTTCCATGTTTTCTCCTAAAAATACAGAAATCAATTTAATTTTTTTGCCATTAAAAATAACTTAAAAATTACATACCACTCCAAAACAAAATTTCTATCAGTAAATATAATGGGGATACTTCAAACCTTGTCATTCTTTGACTGCTGCATTGAGATTTTTTCATCTTATTCGTATAATTAAACACTGTTTGTTCACTTTGAAATTGATTATTAATAAATTCTTGTAGATCACTAATTATGCCATTTGTAGTGTTGTATGTTATAATGTAGATTGGTTGATATGTTTCTTGAAACTTTTCGCATTTTTCATTTAAACAACTACTTCTTTCTATAATAGATGGAAACTCTCTGAACATAGCCTTGCAAATAGTTTTAGGTGTAGTTTCACACTTAACAAAAAAAATATTGTACTCAAATGTCTCTAATACTGGAATAATAATGAATAATAATAATAATAATGAAATAATTAATTCTGCCCTATCTGTATATGTATGTGTCGTAATACCTTTTGAAACCAACTGAGATATAAAATTAATATATTTTGTTTTATTTTTTAAAAGTCCTTCTGAAAACAGCTGACTGTCACAAAAAGCTACCATTATCATTGATGTTATAGAATCAAATGCACACGTGTTGCTTAGTACTATGTTAGAGTCTAAACTTTTAATTTTACAACTTTTGAGTTCTTCTGCTCTAGATCCATTTTTCAACAAAGGTAAAATGCGAGAGCTCCGTGAATTATTAATGTTAATGTGTCGTAAATGTGGATTTGGAAGAATATATGAACTATTTTTAACTTTGTTTTTACTTTTTCGGTTCCACCCATCCGTTGCTTTGTCTTCGATAAGCTTTTCATGACCCTCAAAGTAGTTGTAACTGATACGAATTTCATCGTCATCTTGCTGGTGTGCAGAGCATTCTGGAAGTGCGTGGACTGTGCTTTAGTACATACCGAACATTTATGAGCACCACTACTAGAAGGTAAAGATCCATATTTATACAATAGGCATACTACATTTCTTAAACTGTTGGTGTGATTATTTCGTTTCTCTATGTCGTTGTTCTTTATTTCTGGACAGCATAAATTATTTATTTGATCTAAATTATTGGTTCTTTAAAGAACTCATCTTCCAAGCTGTTATCAGTGCCTGTGCGTAAGCATGTTGATATTTTTGTCTCGAGGCTTGATCCAAGTGTTACAACTGCCCTGCTAGAATCTGAATTGTTCAATGGTTACTCAGACGTGACCATCAGCAAAATGGTTACAAGGCACCCATCATACTCTTCGTTCCATATTCGTCTGCCTGCTGAGAAGCTGGATATTGTCCTCGATCCTGCATTCTGGCCCGATGGTGTAATGGTCAAACGTTTTTGGGGTCGTCTTGCTCCTGAGATGATTCAAGACGCAACTCCAAAAAACTGATATATTCATGTTCGTCTACCTATCCTCCTCTTAGTGTGGCGTACGCTCTACCCACTTCCAGATCTGGTGTTGTGAAACACCCCGAAAAACTTATCAGCCAAGGAGTGAAGCTACCCATGGGCTACTATCAAAACTGTAGAGGTCTAAGAACCAAACTTAGACTTTTTAAATGTAATGTTGCTGTGTTTAATTATATTTTCATTTGTTTAACTGAAACGTGGCTTACTAATAGCTTCCAAGACACGGAATTAGGTTTACACAACTATGTTGTATTTAGGTGTGATAGAAGTAGTCAATCCAGTAGTTTTAGTAGAGGAGGAGAAGTTCTCGTTGCCATTCGTAACGATGTGGTCCATAACTTGTTACCTGCACTCGTTAACAATGTTGAATATTTATTCGTTAAATTTTATGTAAATAATACTGCTTATATTGTTTGTTCCGTATACATTCCTCCTAGTAGCCCTGTCCCGGTATATGAGTCCTTTATGTCTGCTGTTCAATATATTATCAACGCTAATCCTGGTTCCGTATTTATTTTCTCTGGTGATTTTAACCTTCCTGACCTATCCTGGTCTAATGACAATTTTGGCTTAATTTATTCTTCCTCTGGCCCTGCAATCCACTGTGTTCCTGACGTTTTCGCATATAATAATTTTTTTCCAACTAAATCTCATACCCAACTCTAATGGTAATTTCCTTG